ACCTTTGAAAAGTCCTTTGATACCTCCCATCTTTTTTACCATCTGTGCAAATTTGGTATATTGTGTCAAAAGTTCTTGAACATCTCTTGTTGACACACCTGATCCTCTTGCTACTCTTTGGATTCTTCCAGGTTGCTTACTAAAAACCTTGGCACCATCAGTACTGTCAAGTTCTGTAGACAAGGATTAATAACTTTCATTTACATACAACTAACATTCATTATCAAAACAGTTATGTACAAATACCATACACACACAAAAATAAAATGGTGAAACCACCACCTGATTTAACAAATGTTATCACCTGCCATGTTTGCATCTGATTTTTAAACATTAAACACATTCAAAAGAACATCTATAATATTTGTAAGCTATAAAAACAATAAAAAAAATACACATGTACTCACCCCACAGTTTAAGTAAAATAGAACTAAGTAAAATAGAACATTCTGAAAACCTTTAAAACCCATGTCCACCTTTTCCATATCTCATATCCAACTGCTCCTCAGAGCATATACTAAGAGTATAAGGTATATTTCAAAAAAGAAAAGTGCTCACTTTAGCTCTAAATAACTATTAACATTTAAATCATAAATTTAGGCATCTAAGCAACAGAAGTAGGTAGGTTCTATCTATCATCAACGGAATAATGGTAATATTTTCCATATAATTACTACTAGTATTTTAATCCTTTCTGTGACAAAAAGAGTGAGTTAATTTCCTCCAGTGTATTTACAACTCTTAGAATATGAGGTGCATTTCTTCTGGCTTTCGCTGTATACAATCTCAGGAATGCAATGGACTTTAGTCAAAATTTCTATTACAACTGCATTCTCTCTACAACATCCCCCAATAAATGGTCATCTAGCCTGTCTTAATATTCCCAGATGGCCCACTATCTAATATCTAAAATATAGTAATCTATGCTATTCTATCATACCTGTAATTATGGAAAATCTTTCTACATATTAAAATAAAATAAATTTGCCTGGCACCTCTTCCTATTTGCATACATGTCTCCTTGCCAGGCACAAAGAATAAGGCTTTCAAATATTTGAGAGCTACCAAGTCTCTGGTGAATCTCCTCTAGGTTACAAATATCCAAATCTTTTGACTGTTCCTCTTATAACATGGTTTAGAACTCCATTTATTTTTTTTTAAAGATTTTATTTTCATTTATTTGACAGAGAGAGACAGAGAGAGAGCACAAGCAAGGGGGAGCAGCAGAGGGAGAGGGAGAAGCAGACTCCTCACCGAGCAGGGAGTCCAACGCAGGGCTCGATCCCAGGACCCTAGGATCATGACCTGAGCCGAAGACAGATGCTTAACCGACTAAGCCACCCAGGTGCTTCTAGAACTCCATTTATTATCCTGATTTCCTAATATTTTCTAATTTGTCTACGCCCTCTAAGCATATCATTCAGAAGTGAACTGAAATCCAATACAATGTAAATAAGGAGCACATTATCTCATAATAAACTTACAGTCATTAAAACCTAAATCCATTTCATAAATGCAGCTTTTAAGCCACATCTTCACCATAAAATATTTAGGAAATATGTATTCTAAGACCTAAAGTGGAGTGAAGTGAAAGAAGACAGGCTAATACAGCACATCATGGTAAGCAGTATGACAGAATTAAACAAATGTCAGAAGGGGACATAATTTAAAGAAGAAAGGAAGTCAGGAAAGGCTCCATGTTGATGGTTCTTCTTTAACTGAGTAGTCCTAAAGGACAAATATGAGTTAAGTAAACAAGAGAAAGAAGCAAGGGACATTCTACAAAGCAGAACATGGATGTTTAGAATAAAAACAGTTTTGGGCGCCTGGGTGGCTCAGTTGTTAAGCGTCTGCCTTCAGCTCAGGTCATGGTCCCAGGATCCTGGGATCGAATCCCACATCGAGCTCCCTGCTCGGCGGGAAGCCTGCTTCTCCTTCTCCCACTCGCCCTGCTTGTGTTCCCTCTCTCGCTGTGTCTCTCTCTGTCAAATAAATAAATAAAATCTTAAAAATAAATAAATAAATAAATAAAAGTGGGCAAAGCAATATGTCAAATCTGTCCTTCATTCACCTTGTAGTATAAGTTGTATTGTATCACTATGACAAAAATACATCCAGGTATTAATATAATTTATCTACTTGAAAACATAATTGTGGTCTAAATTTATCACTTAATGGTACTTATAGATCGAAAAAGGTAAATTTAGATCTACCTATTTCTCTGAAAGGCTGGGAAAACAAAGCTGACTAAAATTCGATAACCAGGAATGTCCATCAAATAAAAAACAAGATTTTCTTATGGTTTTCACAAAGCTACATACCTATTTTATCTTTCTTTTTTTTTCTTAAGCAACATATTTCAATAAAAAATGTTTTTAAGGTTACCCATCCCTCCAATAAGGGATCACTGTCAATGATACATAAGAAAAAAATTAGATGGTAAAACTAAAAATGCACTGGGGCGCCTGGGTGGCTCAGTCGGTTAAGCGGCTGCCTTCAGCTCAGGTCATGATCCCAGGGTCCTGGGATCAAGCCCCGCGTCGGGCTCTCTGTTCAGAGGGGAGCCTGCTTGTCCCTCTCTCTCTGCCCCTGCTTGTGTTCCTGCTCTCACTGTCTCTCTCTCTGTCGAATAAATAAATAAAATCTTAAAAAAAAAAAAAAAACTAAAAATGCACTTTAGGTTGACTTTAAGCATAAATTGTTAAATTAACAGTAGTGGCTCCACTTTTGGAGCCCAATATCACAGGTACTGTGCTAAGGACTTTCCTTGTATTAACTCTACCTCACGACAGCTCTATGATAGAGATGCTATTATAGTTACCAACGTTCTACAGATGAGGAGACAAAGGCTCAGAGAGATTAAGAAATTTGCTCATGGACACAGCTGGTAAGCAGCAGAGCAAGGATTCAAACCCAGGCAGCCTGATTCCAGAGCATATACTCTTAGACACTCTGCTCCTCTGGGAATGAAAATGTCCGACAATGGGCTATTAGGGGCAGAAAATTCCTACACCAGGGGCGCCTGGGTGGCTCAGTTGGTTGGGCAACTGCCTTCGGCTCAGGTCATGATCCTGGAGTCCCGGGATCGAGTCCCGCATCGGGCTCCCTCCTTGGCAGGGAGTCTGCTTCTCCCTCTGACCCTCCGCCGTCTCATGTGCTCTCTCTCATTCTCTCTGTCTCAAATAAATAAAATCTTTAAAAAAAAAAAAAAAAGAAAGAAAAGAAAATTCCTATACCAAAGGTGAATGTGATATTTGAAAAGATTTGGATACAAATAATCAAAGTGTGTATATTTTTGGAAGTCTATTATGAGAGATGGCCATTTGTAAGCTTTAAAGCCCTATATTTAAGAAACAAATGAAAATACCAAGTGAACATGTTTTATTTGATGCCATGTGAGTACATTTCTTTTAATTGGAATTTGGTCAGATTTTCTTGTCATGGGAATGGACTATTGATATTCAACTAGCAGAATTTTTTATATGGCATTAGTCAAAAAATATTACTTTCTTTGTACACTATGCCTAAACACAGCAATCTCAATGTTGAAAGCTAAACATATTAATCTGAAGTCTGTAGAACTGTAGGAGTCTTCTGACAATAATTTGTATATTTATAATATATATAATTTATATTTTATTTTTATTTTTATAAATTTATAATATATAATGTATTAAAATAAATGCATATTTTATTTTTATAAAATAAAATTCTTATTTTATAAAAATAAAATATAAAGCTATAATAAGGATTGCCACAATTAAGGATGCCTTTCCATGTAATGTACACAATGACTAACACTGATATACGATATATAGAAAACTTAAGGGAGTATCCTAAGTTCTCATCACAAAGAGAATTTTTTTTTCCTTTTCCTTTTCCTCTTTATATTGTATCTACGTGAGAAGATGGGTGTTAGCTGAACCTATTATGGTAATCGTTTCACAATATATGTAAATCAAGCCATCATGCTATAATCTTAAACTTATACAGTGATGTATGTCAATTATTTTCAAGAAAACTGGAAAAAAAAAAAAGATGTCATTTATCTCAGGGCAAGATCATCCATTATTTAACACAGGAAGAAGGAAATTGCGAAAAATCAAGAGACACACATCAATGGAAGGATTTCGCACTTCCTGTATTTCCTATGAAATGGAGTGTCAAGAAATTTGACAGATATTTCTTGAACCACTTCTGCCAAAAATGAAATTCTGACCCCCTTAATTGATTTCCCAAGTCAAAAATTACGGGCCCATGAATATATCCAGTAACAACTCTTACTTTTTTTGGGTCACTGAAGAAGAAATTTCTCTTATTCCATAATTAAAATCATAAAAAGCAGGCAAGCATGGTTCCTAACCTATGCAGATAGGCAGACATTGCATGTTCTCCTTACTTGATGCAGACAGGCAACCATTCTCTGGAAAGAGGCTCACAAAACTTGACCATGTGTTGCTAAAAACTATCCCACAGTCACAGGATATTACTCCCTTCTGCTTTCCATGAAAAGGTAAAGCCTTTGTGCCCCAGCGTCAGGGGAGTCTCAGGCCTCAGGCAGGAGATTTTCTTAGCATCAGGCTCATCAGCATCAGTACCTGTAACAGGCAGGTACTGCTGTGTAATCACTTGGGTATTTTGCCATTTAGATCCTACCACTACCAAGAAAGGCA